GACCACAGGTCTTTATGAACTGCAAGGCCGGCAGTTCAAACTCACCAGCCACTCCTTGGAAAACCAATATAGTGTTGTTACAAGTCAGAACCAACTCAATAGCACTTAACAACAACAACAACAACATGGCACAGTAGGATAAGCACTGGACTGCTAACCGCAAGGTCGGGTTTCAAATCCACTAGCTGCTCCTTGGAAACCCTATAAAGGGTCATTATGAGTCAAAATCTAGTTGACGGCACTTAACAACAACAAAGACATTAATTTGAGAGCTTGTTTTTCTCTTTCCCTTTTTGGGGTACATGGCGGTGATTTTAATATTATGTATGATTATATTAGTCATAGGTTCTGTTAGTGAAAAAATTCTCAAATCTTATCATTAAAGTAAATATTTTTAAATTTCACAGTATTTCCCAAAGAGTACCCTGACTTCCAGGGGCTTTACCTGAACAACCAACCTGGGCTCTCAACAACCAACCAGATTTGTCTTGCCAACCTGCCATTGAGTCTGTTTTCACTGATGGAGACACCATGTGACAGAGTAGATTGGTCCCATAGGCTTTCTTCTTGGTTGTCATCTTTATAGGAATATATCCCCAGGCCTTTTTCCATGGAGCCAGTAGACCGGTTTGCACCATCAACCTTTGGTTAGCAGCTGAGCATTTGACCACCACACCACTAGGGCTCCTGCGATTTCAACAGAGAACACTAGTAGAGTCTCTTATATTTTTCAGAACTGATGCAGCTCGGAATTTGATTCAAGTTGATAGAGGTTGCTCTTTAGAATTGAGAGAAATAATACAGAACTTGGAGCAAAGGGCTTAAAATTTGAGAAGTCTAAAGAGGAAAAAACACGAAGATAAATTTTTCCATAGCACTGAAATATGTACCTGGACAAGTCCCTTGATGGCCTCTCTAGGAACAATGTGTGCTGGGTGAGTGTCCAATAGCGCTCACAGCAGCTGCTCTGTGTCCTGCACACTGAGTCAGGTGAGACATTGTGAAGATGTTTAAAATTTTTAGTTTTAAAGGCCTTTTGTCAAGTCACTTTGGGTGCTCATCTTTAGATGAATAGATGGAAAAAAAGAGTAACTTATTTTTTGAGTGTGGTAAAAATAGACATAAAATATTTGGCAATTCAACAATTCCTACATGTTTAATTCACATGACTGTGATTACAATCTTCATGTTGTGCAACCATTATTACTGTCCTTCTACAATTTATTCTTCTACCACTGACTTAAACTGTCCCTTATCTTGTAACTCCCTCTTTCTCAGAGTGGTTTATTTTGAGGTCTGAACTAAATTCAGGATTACCAAGAATGGTAGAATGGACAATGTGTTAGAAGAATTCTAATTGGTACAAGTTGTGGATATCTAGCTCCAACAAGCTGAAATGTAAAAGTCTCACAGTTGGAAAGGAGAAGGTAGGAGCTGGCCTCAGACTTAGCTGCTCCCCGGGACTCAGACCTTGTCCATTTCTCTCCTCTGTTTGTTGCTCCCATGCTTGACTTCGTTCATTCTGATTCCACCATGATGTGGCAAAATTGGCCATCAGAGTCTCTGAGGTTATGTTTTCAGGGTGGCAATTGACATGAAAGAGCAATCCTTCTGCCTCTAATTAGAAATTTCTGCAAGTTACACTGGGTCCCATACTAAAAGGGGCAGAAAATTCTGATGGGCAGGCTTTGGGGAGAAGCAATCTTACTCATAATTCATGGAGCAACATTGTTGGGGGTAGGATAGATTTTGGTATTTCTGTTTTAGGAGATGTTGGCTATCCAATATCTAGTCCAGTGACATTCACAACAATGTTTCTTTACCTCTGTCTGCCTGCCTGCCTACCTGCCTGCCTGTCTCTCTTCCACACAGGGGAGGGTAAACAGTAGGAGAATTGAAATCTACTGTGAATGATCAGTCTTCCTTGAAACCAACCTACGAACCTAGAAAATTATGAGAATCATACATATGTCCTTATAATTTTTTTTTTTTAATGTCCATTCCGTAAAATGTTCTCTGAGCATAAAGGAGGGGAAAGTTCAGAAGTCCAACATAGAATTATTTATCACATTGCTGGCATTCTGAAGAAAATGAGACTGGTTAAGTGACTGCCTAGGTCACGCTTACCTATCCCAAGCTGAAAGCATCTAGATTTTTATTGGACTGCAGCCAGAGCTCATTAGCATACTGTACCCTGACCTGAAATAGGCAACGGCAGCCTCAGCTTGGAAGTAACCAGAGCCTGCTAGGATCTGAACCAGAGATGAGATTTCAATGACACGGCATTGTCATAAGAAGTCTACATAAGAAGCCAGAAGGTAAGACAGTAGATATCCCAGGGAGAGGAAAATGCAAGGAACACAGTAATGATCACCCCATTCCTACACGGTTTTCCTTATTCTGATTGGTATTCTGCAGAAATTATGAAAATTGGGTATATGTTGGTCCCAAGTTGCATTAAAATAAGAGGAGCTCTTAACAAATCCAGTTTTGTTTTGCTTTTTCATCTTGGAGGAAAACTGAGTTTACTTATTTATGTTTTAAATGCTGTAAAACAGTCTGTTTTTATTTTAATTTGCAGAAAAATATCAAGTTAATATACATAAGTTCATTTGGCAAAAAATCTGTATCTGAAAAAAATGCAACAAAATTTTTCTGTGTGAAAGTTTTACAATTCCCTCCTTAATTTCATTAGTAGATTTAAGTAATTGACAAGTATTAGAGATATACAAAGCCAAGCACCAAATAACTAAGAAACTGAGACCATGAAACTTCCTAAGGTAGGAAGACTATTGACCATCCTTGTAGTTTGTGTATATTATTAAGGAGCTTTCCTTGACATTATCATGTCCTCTGCTTTCATCAGAGCACCAGCAAGTGGAAAGGTTTTACTTCATAACCTAATCATCAGTACATCTGGTAGCATAGTGGTTACGAATCGGGCTGCTAACCTCAAGGTCAGCAGTTTGAAACTACCAGCTGTTCTGCGGGAGAAAGATAAGGCTTTCTGCTCCCGTAAAGATTTACAGCCTCAGAAACCCTGTGCAGGGTCGCTATGAGTCAGAACCTACTCCATGGTACTAACAACAACAATCCACAAAATGAATCTTTTTTTTTTTTTTCCATTTGTCTGGATTGTTGTTGCTAGTTTCTGTTGAATCTACATGGACTCATGGTGATCTCACTGTGCAAAGTCGAGCTGCTCCTAAGGGTTTTCAAAACTGTGATCCTTCAGGAGCACATCTCAAGCCCTGTCTTCTGAGGAGGGTCTGGGTAGGTTCGAACCAACAAACTTTTGTCTAATAACTGTGCGCTTAAATCATCTGTGCCACCCAGTGCTCATGTTTTTTTTCAAATTTTTTTCAAATTTCCTCTTATTTATACACCTTTAAATTCCCTTTAACCAATTATAGTTTGAGGTTACAGAAGTGTTCCTCATGGGGGAAGATGCAGTTTGAACAAACACTGAGTATCTATTGCTTACATGGCACAACTTAATGAAATTACCTAGAGAAAAAAATCTTCTTGGGTGGGTGGGTGGGGGCAGTGGGAGAAGAGTGATGTTTGCTGAGGCTAGAAAATCTTGATGGGTCATTTGTGTTTTTAGAATTGTAGTTCTCAAATGAAGTCCCTAGGTGTCGCAAATGGTTACAAGCTAGCCTAAAGGTTGGTGGTTCCAACACACCAAGAGATATCTTGGAAGACAGGCCCTGGCCATCTTCTTCCAAAAGGTCACAGTTTAGAAAGCCCTAGGAAGCAGTTCTCCTCTGCACACATAGAGCTGCCCCTAGTTGCAACAGACCATATAGCAACTCAAAAAAGTTTGCAAACTCTTGGGGCAATTTTGCCTCCAAAATTTGATAAAGTCTGGAGATATTTTTTGTTTTCACAATTGAGGGCAGAGGGGTACTACTGACATCTAGTGGGTAGTGGCCAGGGAGGTACTAAACATCCTCCAGTGCATAAGACAGCCATCAGAGCAAACTATTATTTAATTCAAAATGTCAGCTGTTATATAAAGAGATAGAGTGCATATGTGGCTTATCGAGGGAACCAAAATTAATTGCTATGGAAATTTGGGCTTAAAAAAATACTTTTAGATGCATCTGGTTGTAATATTTCCCTATTGAAACTTCAGCCGTGTTGTTAAGTGCCGTCGAGTCAGTTCCAACTCATAGCCACCCTGTATAGGGTTTCTGAGGAGCAGATGGTGAGTCTGAACAGGCAACTTTGTGGTTCAAACCGACTTTGCAATCCTATGCATTAACCTGCAGTGCCACACCAGGACTCAACTTCAAACATAGGCTAGCGAATTTATGAAAGCATTTCCAAACCAGTTCTCCCTCCCACTCTAATACAGGTTTAGGGAGGAAAAGTTCCCAGTGGCTACAAGTGACAAGGATCCCTACTGAGGCCTTAACATGGTTCCTAGCAATGACAAAGGAAATCCAAACCCGAAGGCCAAAGCTGTGATCACTGTGCTTCTGATTCCTGATGCCAGTTGCCAGTTGAGTTGTTTTTGACTCATAGTGACCCCATACATGTTAGAATAGAACTGCGCCCCATTGGGTTGGGTTTTCAGTTGCTGATTTCTTGGAAGTACATCACCAGGCCTATTTTTCTGAGGTGTCTCTGAGTGGACTTAAATCTCCACCATTTTGGTTAGCAGCTTGAGTGTGTTAACCATTTCCACTATCTATGGTCAGACTTTATTCCAGCAAGATTAATGTCCTTTACATTTTGCTTTTCATTAGTTTGTTGGTGCTTGCAAAAAAAAAATCAATATTCAGAATTTTCTGGCAGATCAAAACTGATTTTTTTTCCTCATTATAACAGTTGGTATTACTATTATTTATTTTTTAGCATCAGAAAACAGACTCCGTGTCTAAGCTGCTTGAGTGGGCTCAGCTTGCCCATATTGAAGTCTTTGATAGGAAAATTCTCATGCATTGCTGAGGGAAGTTGAATAGACAAAACCTTGTGGGTGACCTGATCTTACAATGAAATCGGAGGACATTGGTTCTGAGGACAAGGAGACATTAAAATGGGATATTAATGACATGAAGCTACCACAGGTATGTACTTGATATAAAAATCTGCCTTCATCATTTGGCTACAAAGCCTTAACTATTAATCTACTAAGACTTGGAAGGAAATTGGTAAGGGTCCCAGAGCTGCAGCTGGGCATCAGACTGTGTAAAGTTAAGAGGAAATGTCAAGCCCCATGATTGGAATGTATCTTTACCTACCAGATGCCTTCAGGTATCAACTGAGGCAAAGAAAGTGCTACTTACCTTTTCTTCCAAGGTGGCTTGGCTTGGGTTACAACCACCCCAGCTAGCTATAATCTATAATAATTCAACTGCCTAGAGATTGACTCATCATTATTTACAGGTCTCCTTGGAACCTTATTTGTTATAGTCATCATTTTTAAAACTTAATCTGTAACTTGAGTCTTCTGGAATGTCAAAATTATTACTCTGTGATAGAACACAGTATATTCTTCTCAAACTTTTATCGATTTATAAATAATACACAGTCTGTGTAAACTGAATTACTTTCCAGCTATAGGGTTGCTTTATAAAAAATTATTTGTTGCAGGGGGGAGGGGTGAAACCACAAAATATGCAACAATTTTTGCATGTACGATTCAGTGAAATTGATTACATATGTTAAGTTGTGCAACCATTCTCACTTTCCTTTTCCAAATCATTCTACCACCACTAACATGAACTCACTGCCACCTAAACTTCTCATCCAACCTTTTGAAATTGCTAATAGAATGACTGTCTTTTCCTATTTTCTTTGCCTTTAATTTTGAAACTGTACTTTTTAATTCTTGATTTGGTTGAAAACATTAGTTGCTCGAAACTGAATCTCCATGCTGATCATTCCTCATTTCCTTGACTTCCCTTTCTGCCATTTGAAAGATGTTTTCACTGGAAACTGTTTGAAAAGGTCACTAGGAAGGCTGAGACTAGAGACCACTAGTAAAACAATGAAAAAGGTCAATTCTGTCTGCCTGATTCTGGGGAGCAAACGATTTGAATTATGCCAACCAGAAGAAAGGTGATGAGGATTCCACGGCCATGCTTTATAAACCATTCAAGTTTTCATTCTAGTAAAAACTTGACTATTTTAAAATTTTTCTATTGCTTTTTAAATCCTTCCTACTGTCTTTCTTAAGGAGCTCTGGTAGCGTAGTGGTTACGAATTGGGCTGTGAACCTGAAGGTCAGCAGTTCGAAACTACCAGCAGCTCCGTGGGAGAAAGATGAGGCTTTCTACTCCCGTAAAGATTTACACCCTTGGAAAACTTGTACAGTGTTGCTATGGGTCAGAACTGACTTGACGGCACTTAACAACAACTGTCTTTCTTGGTAGGTCTTGGGAAACTTGAGGACAGAGTGTGTACTTTCATTCATGTTGTTGTTGTTAGTTTTACCTTTGAGTCTATTCTAATTCATAGTGACCCGTTTTGTGCAGAGTTGAACTGCTCCATAGGGTTTCAAAAGCAGATCCCCAGGCCTATCTTCTGAGATATATCTGGGTGGGTTCCAAGTGTCAACCTTCTGAGTAGTCAAGCACTTAACCCTTTGTGCCACTGAGGTTCTTTTCCATTCATGTAAGGATGGTGAAATCAATCACAGCTAAATCATACAAGCATCCGTTTTAGAGATTTACATATGTGGTTGATCTTACTTGGTATTAAATTTATTGCAGCAGCTTTAGGGGAAATGTTAGGACAAATTTTACTGACTCCTAACTCAGAAACTCATATCTCCACCTGTTCGGTTATTTTTACCCTCTACAGTTTATCTTAAAAAAAAAAAAGAAAATCAACCCCATTATCACATCTTCCTTGTCTATCGTTTCTTTAATAGAACAAGTTACTAAATTTGGTGTGTGTGGGGGATTGCATTATCTTTGCAGATTGACACACTGGCTAAGGAGTTGTAAATAATAAGGAAGATCCAAAAGTTCTATGTTTTATTCTGGAATCATACAGAAATTAATTGACAGTATATGCCACCTGTTCTTAATTTCATGATTCTAGCCCCAAAATAGAAGCAACAAATCAAAGTTGAAGTAAGCAGGCATACAAGAGGACTTCAAAAAATTCATGGGAAAATCTAATTCAAAGATAAAGGAATTTTTTCCTGAACTTTTTAAAGGCCTTTCATATAAGACTTTCAAATGTCACATCCTAGAGCTGAGTTTTTTAATTCTATTCTTGTTGTTGTTGACAATATTCACAGCAGAACAAATACACCAATCCAACAGTTTCTACATGGATATTGGTTACAGTTACATTGACGACGACGTTCTTTGAGCTATACAACCATGCTCACTTTCTTTCGTGCATTGTTCCTCCCCATTAACATAAACTCACTGCTCCCTAAGTTTCCTAGCCAATATTTCCAGTTGCTTTGTCAGTTTGATCCCACATACATAGATCTTAAAAAGAAAAACGCTCAGATAACAGGGATAAGATGTAAGAGTAGGCAGACACAGTGAGCAAACCCTGTAGCAAAGACCTGGGAGGCCAAGTAAAATAGAGACAGATAGTGATCCTGGAACGCTGGGCTTCAGAGGATAGGGCAGAGGGTGGATTGAGTACCAAGTAGAAGAAGAATCAGAACAGGAAGGGTGAGAGAGAAGGAAAATGGGGGGAATGTAGGCCAGCGTGAAGTGGCACAGCCATCTTGGTCTTTCTCGGTACAGTGGCCTGTGGGCATAGGACAAGACTGGAGGTTGGCATCAGGGGTGTGCTTCTCCCTTGTTTCTGTGTCTTCCTGGAAGCTGGGGTGTGGACCTTGCTAAACCAACAGCCAGTGGCACCCCCTCCTGCACAGCCTCAGCTATGTGTAACTCCCTTACTTCTGGAGACATATGAACCCACTCTGAACTATGCTACACAGTGAATGGAGAACTGTGTTCACACTTGTGATTTCTACCACATCCACCTGGAGACAGGTGGTGAGTGCCTGAGAACATATTAGATGTTGACATTTGGTGAACATGTCTGGAGGTAGAATGGGTAGGTACTCTTAAAATCACCGGGCTGGAGCATTGGAGGCACAATGGTTAAGTAGTCTGCTGCTAACCAAAAGGTCTGTGGTTTGAAGTCAGCAGCAGCTCCTAATGGGGGTGAGGAGAGGGTAGAGAGAGAAGACGTGGCAATCTGAGTTCAAACTACAGACCTTTTGGTTAGCAGCCAAACACTTAAGCATTAAAGTGTAAAGATGACAGCCTAGACTTTTGCAGCAGCTTTGTGACAATGAGCCAACTTGACAGTAAAGAGCAACAAAACACCGGACTTGGAGGCATAAGCCCTGGGTTCAAACTTGTTTCTAGCTCTTTTATTTATAGAGCCTTGGGAAATTATCTTCCTGTTTTGAGATTCTCTTTCTTATGAAAACAAGGGGAGGATATTTCACTAATATTTTTTCCACAAGTTTTTATTATTCAAACTTTAAATAGGGAATTCCAGCAAGATGGCAGACTAGGCACACACCCTCTACAACAAAGATAGAAGAGACAAAATAATACAGACACAGATGAAAATTCTAGCACCATGAACTTCAGAGGAAAGGCTGGAGAGGTGGATGGAGTGCTTGCTGGGTGGAGAGGTATGGTGAGAGAGAGACTGATGAACGTCTGGCCAGATGTGGTTCCACCATCTTATGAGCAACCTTGGCAGCTGAGGGAGGCCTGACAGAGCAGATTCCCATGAGAGATGAAAAAGGTGCGATTTCTTTTTTCCCCTCAAGCTCCCCTGGTGACCAGAGGTGTGGCCAGCTCCCACCCTCATCCACCCCGAGCATAGACCCTGCTCTCCAGGTGTTCAGAACCACATGGCTGGGAGCCACACTAGTGTGAGGCGGGACGCCACTGCACCGCTTTGGTGCCTGGATTCAGGTGTTCTCGGCTCCAGACCTACAAAACCCATAGAGTCACTAAACCAGCATTTAACCAGTCACCCTGTCCCCAGCTTCCCTGTGGTCCTAACAGACACTGAAACAAACTCCATCAAGGCCCCTCCATGAACTACTTCTGGATTGAGTACCCTTAATATAGATAACACTGAGGCCAACAGGAATTCCATCTAGAGTCAGAAACTTTGCTGTCACAAACCTTCCACAACCACTTCATGAGTTCCTTGAATTGCAGGAGCCCACTGGAGATTTCACCCCCTTGGATCCAACAACTACACTGTTTGTTTTTACAAAAACCCCATAATTCCATGGAGACAACAAACAAGTTTAGCTCACATGAAGGAACAAGAGAGAATGGCTCAATCAAATGACCAAAATGCAGAGACAGAAAGCATTTTGAGGGGAAAAAGGTAATGGAATTAACTGAAAAATAATTCAAAAGAATGACATTTTGGTATAGTCAATGGATTGACAGAAAAATGAAATAAAGCAAGGAGAACAGAGAAAACACACCTTAGAAGAATTCAGGAAAACGCTACAAGAACAAACAAATAATAAATTCAAATTTTGAAACAATATGAAACCTGAAATTGGAAATCCAGAAGATTAACACTAAAATTACAGAAATGGACAGTACAAAGAAAGCAGGATCCTTCAATATGCTATCTATAAAAAACATATCAATAAGATAGATACAGCCTAAATGCCCATCAACAGAAGAATGGTCAAATAAACTTTAGTACACACACACAATGGAATACTACAAAATGGTGAAGAAGAATGATGAATCTGTGAAACACCTCAAAGCATGGTTGAGTTTGGAGGACATTATGTTGAGTGAAATTAGTCAATCACAAAATGACAAATATATGAGACCCATTTTATTAAAAGGTTTAAAAAAAAAAAGTTTTCTTGCTAAAAGAAACAGTCTATGATAGTTGTGGGGTGTGGAGGGGAGGGAAAATTATTCACTGGCTAGTTGGGTAGACACATGTCAACATGAGTGACAGGGCAAGCAATATACAACAAGAGGGAGGTTAATAGAGGGAAGATAAGTCAGCAGGAGACACAGGGAAGAATGCAATAGTTAAAGTGAATTGAGGTAAATTCTGTTAACTGTTGGCATATGTAGGGGAT